TGGGGGAGGGGGCAACAATAGCAAAAGCAGTTCATACCTTTGTTAACAGTCAACAAATCCATGTTTAACCCTCTTGAGGGTCAAAAGGTTATTCGACACTTACTCTTCGCATGTCAGCAGAAAGTACATTTCATGGTCCTTTCAATAAAGCCATAAAAATGCTAGGTCACCGCTGAAACAAAAAAGTTTTTCAATCGCTCAGTCAGACCATGTCCTCAAAAAATGTCTAAAGTCTGCCCTGTGCCCCATTGACCTTTGACCTGTGACCTCCAATTTCGGCACAGTGATGGCTTTTCCTACCATGATGCTATACACCGACTATCACGAGCCTAGGTCGAGCCGTTTAGATTTGTGCCGCAATTCTGCATTTCCTCCCTTCTTTTACACCTCTTGACTTTTGACCTTTGACATCCCAACTCGTTTTCGGATTACCCCCCCCCTCCCACCCGAATATCGTGCCCGTACGTCGAGCCGTTTAGATTTGTGCCCAACTGTTGACGAATGCACGCATGGACGGACGCACGCTCATGTGATTCTACAAGCTGCATCTGACTATGTCAGATGAGCTAGAAATTGAATGACTTGACACCATACCTATTCAGTATTCAGGGTTTCTTATACATATGAGGCACTGTGGCGCACCGCCGTTGTCAAATTTAATATCGCCGTTGTGAAAATGTTCAAATGCAGTCTAAGACATTTAAATTTTTTAACTCTTGTTGGGGAGACTCCCCCAGAACTCCCACTTTCCCCTTATCCATCATACATGTGCATTTTTTTCCCAAACTGGCCATTAGGCCACCAGTTTTTATTTTGTTGGTTTACATAATTTTTGTTGTTGTTGTTGACTCGGTAGGGTAAAAAAAAAGAAAAAAAAGGTTGTTTTGTCAGATCAAACAAGTCAAAATACAGTGATACTGTTATACATGATATTAAAGTATTTTAAGAAAACTAAATGAAAACAAAACACAACTTGTAATTATTTTTACTTTTATTATAAACTGTTTGTTTATGAATTTTGTTTTGTTTTTTACATTTAAATTTTTTAAATTCATATTTCTTAGAGAAAAGGTCAGCTGGAATAAAAAAAATACAGATTTTCAATTTTTATTTTTTTTCGTTTTTCTTGAAAATTCGGGTCGGTGGATCTGTAAACCAACAAAATAAAAAATTCTCGCCTTACCTCCTTTGTCTAATTTTCCCTCAGAAGAAACCCTGAGTATTGCATCTAATTTTTTATTTCTTCCTGCAGCCATTCTCATGCTTATTGGACATGTGTCAAGTAACAAATCTTACACGTCACATAAGTCGTTTTTCAACCTTTTACCATAACCTACCATAGTTGTGCAGACTAACAGTGTAGTAACCCTAAACGACTTGTATTCATATTTTTGCATTTGGTCTCTTACAGTAATATGGGATCCGGGTCAAACAAAGAGCTCTGAGCTTCAAAGTGAATGCAATGAAGCAGCTTGGCTGCAAAAAGGAAGATCGCTTAAGGAAAAAGAAGCACGACTTCATCAGCTTATATCTAAGCTGAGTAGCATGTACCCACAACACACGGAATTCCTAAAATACCTTCATCGCAGTGATGGCGATGAAAGTGTGCCGACTATATATGTAATAACACCCACGTATTGGCGACCAGTGCAGGAGGCAGAACTTACGAGGCTATCACACACCTTCCAGCTCGTCCCAAAGCTACACTGGATCGTCATTGAAGATTCGAACACGACAACAAAACTTGTTGGAGACCTACTGCGTCGGTCCTTACTGACATATACACGGCTACATGTTGCAACGCCACAGGCGTACAAACTTCCAGCCAATCCAAAGTTGTCATGGGTGCATCCACGTGGTGTTCTGCAGAGGAATTTAGGCCTTCAGTGGCTGAGAACTAACCTGGATGCAGAGAAGCAGAAGGGAGTTGTGTACTTTGCTGATGATGATAATACTTACGATCAAGCACTTTTTGAGGAGGTGCTTCATTTTTCATGAATTTTGAGTACTATAAATTATTCAGATGAGTTTCCGTAAATAATTTCTCTACGATTGGCTATTTTCAGCTGTAGCTGTATCGTATCGAATAGGCATCAACTATTTTTGTGGTGCCTGTCTGTGAGAGAAAAGGTTATTGCAGTATGCCAATTTAAAGTATTTGTGTGCTATGAGTTTATAACTGCAGATGGTTCATGATATTACTGACAAATATACATAGCTTCAATTAGAAACTCAGGTTAGGGAAACCTTAACAGCCTAAACAGAGGAGAGCTCATTGATTATAAACAATATATTGCCTATCGTAAAGGTTACATATACAAATGTTTCCTAATAATTGTTAGCATCTTCTACACAGCATTTCTATCACAGATGAGGTCCACAAAGACGGTGTCAGTGTGGCCAGTTGGACTAGTTGGTGGTCTTCTTGTGGAGGGACCTTTAGTGGAAGGCGGAAAAGTCGTGAGTTGGAACTCTGTATGGAAGCGACATCGTCCATTCCCCATCGACATGGCAGGGTAGTGCTCATAACATTTACTCTAGCATCTGCATAAAAATTGTAGTGCGACTCGGGGTATAGTTAAGTATGCAGTGTTTCCAAAATTTGCAATGATTATGCTCATTTTGTGCAGTTATAGAATTCAAGTATAATAAAGGTAAACCCTATCCCAAAACTAGCTACGATTTTGTCAGCCATTGCTGTCATTTATAATACTAAGGATGAATTAGGAGATGTCTGGAAATCTGGTGCTCTTCTACCTTTAAATTCATTACCTAAAACCAAAATACTGCATTGTAACAGGGTTAGAATGATTTTCATAGCTAAACAAATTAAGAAAACAGAAAGTACATTTTGAAAAAAATCTATGTTATGAAACGAAATAATTATTTATTGACATTGCTAAGAGATGCAGAAATCAAGTTGCTCATGTTGATGTTCTTGGGTGGGGAAAAACTTCATTTAATAAAACAGTTCTGCGTAGGTTTGCCATCAACCTGCGATTGCTGCTTAATCACCCGAATGTAGCATTCAAGCTGAAGGCAGAGATAGGGTACCAGGAATCCTTATTGCTGAAAGAAATCGTCACTATATCAGAACTGGAACCAAGAGCTGATAACTGTTCAAAGGTAATAACATTATGGAACATTTAGCGAAGGCCCAAAGTGATTTTTAGAGTGCAATGTTTGTACTGAGGAAGGAGTTCAGTGACCTTTATGTAGACGTTTTCTATTTACAACCCTGTCAAACCAATTACGTTGATGGGAGTACAATTATTACTTGTCGTTTACAGGTTCTCGTGTGGCACACTCGAACAGAAGCACCGAAACTGGATCAAGAGAACAGTAAATATTTCATCAATGTTTAAAAATACTGCTAACAGTAACACTTGACAAATTAATTGTTTGGCTGGTATGAGCAGTGGCTTCTACTTGCTTACCCAACGGCCCGAGCTAAATCTGCTGTGAAATTTGAATCACAATATAGTAATTGGTCTCATACAGTGTCTGACAGTGGGTTTAGCCGAAGCCTGGCTCGAGGATTTGTTGGGGGCAAGTAAAACGGTAGTTTTACTGGCCCAAAATGGATATTGGAAGCTTAAAGCCGCACTATGCGCATCCAAACCCTAATTTCTCCAGTACTAGACTAGCAAATACTTCGTGTCATGCATAATCATACTACCTTATGACAAAATAAACTCTAGTTCCTTCCATTTGACTGCGCGTTGTCTTATAAAAGGCATTTGAAAATACCTCCAATGTTGTTAAAATTCTCCGATGTTGTTGACACTTTCGCGTTGCTCTGCCAAGCAACAGTGGAGCGGTGCTGCGGTACAGCGGTACGGTGTAGCAAAGATAAAAACATGTGACGTCACCTAACCGATTCTTGCCGAAATTGTTTGGCAAACAATTTAGCATTGGCGCCAGATTACCAGATATCGCACCTCTTTCTTGTGGGTTTTAAGCAAACGCGCACTGAAATGGGAGGAACTAGAGTTTATTTTGCCATAAGGTAGTGTGATTATGCATGACACGAAGTATTTGCTAGTCTAGTACTGGAGAAATTAGCGTTTGGATGCGCATAGTGCGGCTTTAAATTGTGGGTATTTGTCTACATTTACTACAAATAAAACTACAAACGAACACTCATACCATTTTGACAGCTGGTACAGATCTGGAGTTTGTCATATGATACTGACCGTTGTACTAATACTAAAGAGCTACTGTTGTCTACTGCAGATGGTTCTTACATTTTCCAACCCAACCTCCCGTGTTTCAAGAAATGGTCAGTTCGAGAAGGGGTAGAAGTTGGCATAGTACAGATAAATTCAGTAACGGTTTCGTTTGTTTTTCTTCCAGTCCTGTAAGTTATGCTTATTCAATCACTTATTGATCAGATGTAATTGACAAACGTGTGAACATTTTCATAATATCAGTGATCTATCTGAACTAGCAGCAGTCAATGAATGAAATGCGTTGCAACACGTATGCCAAATACGCAATTATGCTGTAAAGAAATGACTGTACGTCAAACAATGTTGTCAAATCTGCATAATTGTCACTTTATTCAGGTCGTAGATAGACATGTTGTAGTGTCTATGGTTGAAGGAAAGTGTATGTACTTGCCAAATAATCATACTATGGGCAACTATTTCCTTAGTAAATTTTGTGGTTGGCCAAATAAGATCATAGTTCTATTTGGCAACCTAACTGCATGGAGACTGGTTGGTTCTGGGACTGCGTATACATGTAGTAATGTATTAGGCTACTGGTAATCCTAGATAGAAAACTGTTGACAGTTTTATATAAATCATGAATTTAAGGTAATCATGTGATCAATCCCAGAGATTCAATGTTTTAATAAGCAGTATACAGTAGCTCTGGCAACAAATCCAGTTTCCAGACTGCTCAAAATCTGGTGTTAGCTAGTATAGGGAGTTGTAGTTACGAGTTGAAGCTAGTTTATATCAGATGTTAAGTTTTATATCAAAACAATGGCTATATAAAATAACTTGAACAAAATATAGTGAAGTTATTAAAATTTTTATATTTACAATATGACTAGCGTACGTATAGCTATGTTTTTCACAAAATATTTCGTCACATGTCTTCGGCACTTCGTCATTGCTATTTTCTACAATTGTTTCAATAATTGGGAACGTGGAAAACTCCTATCACATTTTGCATAACATACTCCATTTCATAATTTATTGGCAGCCAAAACAATCACTGGTGTGTACATGCACAAGAGAAACCCTGCTCTATAATGTTGTCAGGAGCGCCAAGACAGCCAGACACTAAATAAGTACCGGAATTGCATGTTAATTGGCTTGATTTACTCCAAGACCATCAGAACTAGAGTGACTTTAGGTAATTATAAGTTTTTGGCTGTTTCCCTCATTATACCTCGAACAAAGCAGCAAGCCTTACTAAGAAGGATGAAAGAAACTAAAGTGTCGCTGTGCTTGCATTTTCTGGCGGTGTTTTGCCAGACAGTGGGTCACTTCACGAGTTCTGAAAATCTATATGCTCATCGCGTGCAGAGACAAAAACTGACCGAAGACTAGAGATGGAGAAAAAATTGCCGGGATATAAGACCTTTCACAATTACATTTATCACAATACAAAATTTCTATCGTTAATATGAAGACATGGTGTCACATAATTGGCGATCGTAATTTGAAAAATATTGTGTTATAAATAAATCATTATACAAGATCCAAACCCTAAAGGCCAAGACACACTGCAGCGACAGCGACCGACTGTAACGACAAACGACAAAGTCGCGGCGACTGGCGCAGCCACACTGCAGCGACAACGACCGACCGTAACGACAAAGTTCACCCAGACCTCACCACAGTGCCAGTGCCAGTGGCACACATGAACAAACGGCAAAAAACTCCTGCTGCTGCTTTTACATAAATTGCTGTAAAAATGTATAACGATAATATAATAAAGTAATATATACGCAGCATATTATACGAACGTCTGATGGCTGACCGTAGCCTTGCACGTTTTGGTTAGATGGGTTCGTGGCCCCACTGTTTCTGACAGGCAGTGCGAGTTTAGCGCTGGGGACCAGTCTACTTCCTGGCTAGCATTGGTTTATAATTTTATGACGTAATGGTGATGTCACGTGCCGATGGAAACGGCTGTGATTGGCCATTTGTAAAGTGTCGCCGGCGAAAGTCGCTGGGAAATAGAAACGTTTCTAAATATTTTTGTCGTCGAAGTTGTCGCCGGTCGTCGTCGCGTCAGTGTGCAATGGCTCATAGGAAACAATAGTTTCTAATTTTCTGAAAAGTCGTTTGTCGTTACGGTCGGTCGTTGTCGCTGCAGTGTGTCTTGGCCTTAATGCAGCAAAGTAGTTGTAGTTTCTTAACAACTGATCTACACCATAATAAAGGTCATGCAATGTAAAAAAAACATTGCACAATAAATTACCATTAATAACATGGGAAAATATAGATGGGTGCACAACCAAATATTTACTATAATTATTAACTTGTGTATCCAAAATAGTTTATGTAAAATATTATTATTGTGTATATTTACACAAATAATACAATGTCTACAGAAATAATACAATGTCTACAGAAATAATAAATTTATGCACTTGTCTAAACAGCAAGTTGATTGGCACGAGTGATCAACAGCTAATCATAAACAGATTGCAAGGTGGAATAGAAAAATGCAATATCATAAACAAATTTAAACCAAAGTTGCTCCTGCTGGTCTATTATTGTGAGCAAGTGGGTTGAACCCACCTTGTATGTGGATGAAAGTTGATCAATATTGAGAAATTAAAGCAATACCAAAAATGAACATACTGCCTGGGGTCGGATTGGCAATATATACAGCTAAAGTAGAAATATCAAGTTATCACCAAGTCTTGTCCCGTTTTATACCATATTACTACAAGGTATACAAATTTTCCCCTGAGAATGAACGATGATAATAAGATGGGCTATGAGTATGAGGAGGTAGTGGTAGGAGATAGCATAAAGAAGTACATGGGAATCAAGTTGGCAGAGAAACAAATATAAGTAAGAGGGGGATAAAGGAGTGACAGAAGAATTTTATTAAATGTAAACAAAAACGTTCAAATGTCGAAATGAATTAAAAGTGCTCACACAACATAAAATGAGAACAATAATGCATGCTAGTGTATAAGATGTGCGTGCGTATGTGGATAATGCCTGAGAGCACTTTGCTGCCTCACACTGTAGACCCATTCACCATTCTGAATGTTGCTCCCAATGCCCAACTCGTTTCCACACCATTGATGTTTTTTCTCAACTGGAATTACAAACATAAAGACGATGACCATCATGACCATAGTCATAGTATACATACTGCACACCACTCCCTTCCATAATAGCACAGAAATACATTAACTTCAAGACAGTGCTGTAATAACTTGCTACAAGGTTGTGTTTTTTTTTACAAATGTAACTAAGTATAAAAGTTCCCCTATTGATTTATTATAAGAATGAATGCTTGAACAATTAAACTTGAAGGCTCATTTAGAAAGATATAGATGGCATCAATCTATATATCCTACTAATGACAGTAACGCCAGTGCCATTACATTCTTTATTACCTGGAGTTCGGCTGACTTTTTAAACCCAAAACCTTCATGGAGTAAGGTACTTATGTAAGCCAGATCCATACAAAGAAATGTCTCCTGTGAATCTTTCAGAAAGCATTCTGCAATGAAAATATCCAATTCAATTACAGTATTAAAAACATTCAGGGTTCTTTCCAGGAATTGCAGAAAGCATGTCATTTATGGATGGATCATAGGGGAGGGCGGGCCTGGGAGGGGGTGTACCAATTGAAGTCAACTACAAGTGTCATAAGCCGCCCCAATAAACAGGTAAACTCGATCAGTTCGAAGACGTAATATCAAGAGCGTATAAAGAAGGAGAGCGTACAACGGTGAAATGCTGAAACCATGTTGCAGTATTAGTCGAATTAATAAACTTTTCCCGTTTTATTTTGACGATCCTTTGCAGTATTATTGATTAGCTGTCTTACCTTGTTCATATAAAACAAACCGCATGTCCCTACGATGCCCCTACGCTGAGATAATGAGCGGTGAAAATCTGGTATTTTCACCGAAAACCGACTCGAGATCAGTGTGAACTGCGTCCCTCACTCGAAGTGTTATAACTTCGGGAAACCTCGCGTGTTTCCATCAATGATTGACAAATGGAATGAATGACGTCTGTTATTGATTGCCATAGTGATGACCCCCACCTGTGCCCACCTCACGCCCACCTCACGCTGGATGTATAGTAAACTCTGGTAGTATTACGTGAGTCAGCGCCACTATGGCGCTACACAGCGGCGACCGGAAGCAACACACTGGAAACACTTCGAGTGAGGGACGCAGTTCACACTGATCTCGAGTCGGTTTTCGGTGAAAATACCAGATTTCCACCGCTCATTATCTCAGCGTAGGGGCATCGTAGGGACATGCGGTTTGTTTTATATGAACAAGGTAAGACAGCTAATCAATAATACTGCAAAGGATCGTCAAAATATAACGGGAAAAGTTTATCAATTCGACTAATACTGCAGCATGGTTTCAGCATTTTACCCTTGTACGCTCTCCTTCTTTATCTGCTCTTGATAATATACATCAAGCTGCGAAAACTCAGCATGACTGTGTTGGGATTATGAAAAGGAAATACAGCTGGAAATTAAGACATGTCGATTAGACAATTAAAACCTGTTGGAGGATTTAGGAGATATTGCAAATTAGTTTCAGCTTGAAGGCATGTCGGACTTGAAATACGTTAAAATCTTGGGGAGAACATTGATATTTGCATAGATTTTCACATAGTTACACATGTACTCAGATGGGTGCACACACAACTAAATCACTTCCACGGATGACAGTAATGATTTGTATTTGTAGATTTTGAAACCATACACTCAAAGTAACATTTATAAGAGTCCCAGCCAGATTACTCGTGTAACACCTGTAGTATTTACAATTACACCTACCATGCTTTGCAGCACTGTAAAAATCGCCAACTTTGACGGTGCCACCATGTTGCATATCGATCAGGCCTGCGTCAACGGCTCTGTCATAGTAGTAGGAGAAGGCATAGAAGACTTCCGTATGCACCTCAGCCGGTTTGTGTATTTTGTGGCTGCGCACCAATACCCGCGCATCGTGAAAACACATGATGTGAGGTCGCGTAAGGTCGTTCCTGCAACCATCGTAAAACTTACGCTAGACAAACAGAATTGCAACTGCCTCAAATGTATCACATAAACTTATGGCCATTCCGACCTAAAAGCGCATGATCTTCGAGTAAGGATTATAAAACAATATTCTCAATTGTTCTCATATTTTCCAGACCGTTATAAAAGTTACTGGTATTGCTTGCAGAACAGCAAGTGTCTACAGTAAGGCTAACTTGTATGAGTACACTTATCCATCATTTCTTTCACTAACATATGCAAAATTTGAATGAAATTTCTTCATCGATTCCTTTGTTGTTGGTCATCGTCTCTACTTTGTTAATGGTAACTTGCATTAAGTAATAAAGATGCAGTACGTACCACTCTAGAACCAATTGTGTCACGGAATTAGATTCACTCGAGTCCGAATTAGATGCACGTGTGGCATCATTTACAAGGTAATTGCCATATTGAAAAATGTGGCTGCGTTATTTGATATTTACCATATATACATAGCATAAATCCTCAGTAATTATCAAACTGGTGTAATAAGTGACCTACCCTCTAATTGGTGAGCCTATATTTCACTATGTCTTCAGAATTTGGATGTGTTTAAGAGATGATTGGTTTAAAGAAGATAAAGACATTACATTACAGAACTGGAACTGGGTCCTGCCAATAGTAAACGAGCTGAAACAGCTGATTGTATGGACACAATACATTGTATAATGCTACTATATGTGATTGTGGCAAGCGACTACTCACGTGATGTTGTAGTCACGACCACCGTGGGACCATAGGTTGTTGTGGCCGGCTGGGATGCAGGGACTAGTCAGGACCACAGGCGTCTGTGCATAGTTCAGGCGACTCTCACTAGGTTCCTCCTCAACTCCCATCATCTCTAGCCGTGCTGACATCAGACCGAGACCCAGGTAACTACAAAAAACACCAACACCACACAAAAACTTACGCCACGCTCGACAAAAAAACGCACACATGAACCGATGCGCGTAAGAGCCGTGCGCGTGGGCAGACTTATTGACCTCCATCTCTTCTAGTCCTACACTCACCTGTGTGTGTAAAGGCTAAATTCTTTTCCCAGCGCCTCATATTTATGCAAGAAACCAGACGGCGCCGCTATTGCTGACTCACTACTTTGTGGCTCAAACGTGACTTGGGTTGAAGCGCCACCTAGGTCCAGAGCTCCGTCAGTATCGGAACCCTGATGGAGCTTACCTGCAAGTGGTTTAGGTGTTAAAAAAGAATTTTGCAACTCTGGTCTGGGATCAATACGTTTACACCGTTGATCAGCTAACAATCAAGACTCACGGATGAGAAAGTTGACAGTGAACCAGGAGAAGATGCCCTCGTCGATCCCATCCATGATTCGCACTGAACTCTTGTCTGTCAGGAACGGACTCTGCTTGAACACATTACCTACCTGCAATAATATGCATTGGCCAAAAATGAATGTCGTTACATTAATCACTCAATAAAATGTGCAGGCTTATATTAATGATAGCAAAAATAACCGACCATAATAAATTGCATTATAATATTAGTGTTCAAATAAATATACGAGAAACTTAAACTGAAAATTCTGAAAAAAGCAAAAATGATGAATTAAACTCTGTTACTAAATAGTTATACACAATAGCTATGAATATCTGTTAATTAATACACACCATATCTAGGTCATATAGTTATTCTCTATAAACAAACATGGGTTTCAAATGCACAATAACATTTTTGATAAATTGACAATAACAATTTACCATTAATACCAGTAATTATTTTGTCATCACACAAATGTGTAATATCTCTGGTCTCGTTAATTGAAAGTATTCACACAATTTCCTCGAGACTTCATAACTAAATAAGTTCTATAGCAACATAGGATATAGAACGACGGTGAAATACAGCGAACATGTAATTGTCGTTACTCGTACATACCTCCTTGAGCAAAAGTCGTGCTTTAGTTTCGGACAGCAGCCTCAACCCTGCAGTGGCCTTTAATGCCATTGGTGTACTCTCCCACAGCTCTCTCGGCACACTGGATTTCACCACATCTAATAATCTGAGTATGCCGTCAACAGCCTATACAACGAGAAAAAATACAGAAACTATATTAAAAAACAAATCAGATGTGAAAAAAACAGGATTGACATGTTTAAGTTGAACCGTGGGTATACTGTGGCCGATTCCACTACTGTTATTTTGTTTTACTTCTATGGTTACAAATGGCCTCAATACATGAAAGTCAAACGGCTATATGTCACAATCGATTGTCGCGGACAATATGACCTACCATATAATTACTGTGTAATGACCAATAAATCATCACTAAATAGATGCCTGGCTAAAAGGATTATTAGTTGCCAGATGAGCAGCTAGGGCCGAATACTTCACGGTCAGTCAACAATGGAAACCCATAGACGTACTTGTAACTAACCACATACAGCACGTACCGAATTACGTTTACCCACATTCATGCCTCAAGGCGAAGTCAATGGCCATAACTGTCAACCCTACTGAAAAGCTAACCCGAGACAACAGCACATGCCCTTAACAACACACATACAGGCGATTTAGATCTAATGATCAGACCTACGCTCTTTGGATTGTCTACATAATGTGATAGTCCTGGCGAAACTTGCTCAAACACTGCTGATACAAGCTCCATATCACCACCTGTTGAATGAGTGAAATGAAATACAAGGTATGAATAATAGGCTAGATGGTTGAAAATGGTTTAACTGAGCACATAGAGAAGTTTAAAACTAATACAACATAGATTGTGCAACATCAAATTATTTCATACTATAGTTTTCAATATAATCCATTGAGGTGAAAGAAACGTGGTTTTTATCTAGTCACTCACACACTGGGTGAGCAATTTAGCTTGCTCTCTCAAATGCTCGCCCCTTTTATCCCTCTCCCTTCCCTGCTCTCTTCTCTTCCTTCTCACACATTTTCTCTCAGATTAATAGCATCTAAACACTACTCACCGCTGATTGCCTTGCTCCTGCTGAATCTGAACACGTGCACTCTGCTGCCTGTGCTGCCAGCATCGAACATCGCACAGAAAAAGTCACCAAGTTTCGTCGCATTTAGCTCTTCACCGTTCATCACCATGGCGTAGTCTGGGTAGTCATTGTTGCCGAACAAGCGCACCTCGCTCTCGCTCGACACCGGGTACAGCCACGACGAGCAGAGCGCGAGCAGAGTGCACACCGTGCACGCAGCGCCACACATCACCATGATCAGGTACGAGCGCCGTCGCTTCACCGAGAGCAATGATCGTCCGCGTGGCAGTGACGGCGGTAGCAGGTCGACTGTCATTTACTGTCACCGTTACTAGTCGCAAATGCCCTGCAGACAACTGTCCATAGTCAGCCAGCCACTCAAGCACCGTGTTGACATAGCGATGATAGCAGGGTGATGGACAGGTTCATTCAACCGGCTAGTGGCACTAGTGCTGATGTGTTTTTTTTGCCGAGTCATGATGGTGTGCTGCATGCAACTGCATGGTTGTATTGTACCTGCATGCAGACGGAAATTAGTTCAATTTACACTTGGTTTGCACATTATTATCCATATAGTAAATTATTAATCAAAATAGATGCTACAAAATGAAATAGTTATGTAAAAATCTCTTTTCTTCAGTTTTGCTACACACTATCCTAACCATGACCAGACTATCTCTATACCAGTAATACTTTTTTTTTAATTCCTTCACCGCCCATAAAACCTTAGTTTCCGTTCACGCATCAAGAGCATGGGTTTCACGTGTGCATTATCTTACTTCACGTGGTCAATGACAGTATGAATAGCTATATCAGCTATCAGGCACTTCAGCAGCCTCTCCCAATATTTTACCCATAAGCCTATGAGCTATCCCTCTTTTTTTATATTAGGAAAAGTAGGTCGCCCTCCAAATTGCCCTTCAAAACCGGACCAAACCACTCCTTCTCAAACTTTTGTATCCACCCATGGCCACACTTTATCCCTATCACTATGATTACTACGCTCAAGTAAAACGTTAAAACGTTCAGAGACTCCCACAGCACGTAGTGTGTTTAAAGTAAGATTTAGACACAAGCCCATAGGGAATAATCTGCTATAACGTTATAAAATGGGTAGGCAGGCCAGCAAGTTTGCCTTCACTTTAAAAAAATAAACATGGTAAATCCATTTATTATACAGAACTAGGAATGTAGACATGTCCTTCTGTTATGAGGCACTATCGTTCACTTCAGGCGATCGATGCACTTCATGTTTCTAAAATAGAACAACGAAGTCAAGAGCAAGGCGTGAAACTAATACTCGCCGGCTTAGTCGAGGCTAGTAGAAATCCGTGAAGGCTAGTACTAGTAGCACGTCTTGGGCTTACGCTCCATTAAGAGTGTTCCCAACTTTAATATAATTAATGATTAATGATTGATAATCCTAACCCTAACCCTAACCTAAATGACATTAAACCACAAACTAATATATGACCATGACCATATATATATATATATATTATATATATATATAATGTTATTATGACCATTAATGACATTAAAGTTGGGAACACTCCTAATGGAGTATCAACCACGTCTTGGCTACCCAGCCCTGCTGTCGAGTGCTGGTAATACTCACATTCCATTTTATAACTGACAGCTATACCGTTGCTTACAACGACGGTGGCACCACTGGCAGCGCACCCACTGAAAAGTTGCGCAAAGCACCGTTTCGGCTGCAAGCTACAGAACGAGGGTGTTTCGTATTTATTAATTTAAGAGCAGAAGGATTGCAATATCTTATAAACGACATATAGTTTCAGTTATAATATTATGGATAAAATTGTCCTAAAATGAATATCGTTCGGTTAAATAGCATTTAGGTATAAATATAATTGCACTTTTGTGATTAGCCCTTGGTCTGTAACGTGCAAAATATTTTGACAAATGCGCAACTTTTTCAGGGTGGCATCATGGTCGCAGGTGTTATGTCAGCGCCGAAAAATGAATATTTCGAAATTTAATGTTGTTTTATGACAAACGTGAATGCGTAATTATAGATATTTATAGACCTGTATGTGCCATTATTTATAAATCTACTATCATAATATACTCTCAAATTCTAGAGTAAAGTATTCATTTAAGTGTAAAATTAGTGTGTGCAAACGTCACAAAACTGCAAAACCTAGCCTTATCAGAAAATCAGGATGACAACCGATGGCAGGCACCAGCTAGGTCAGCATACCAAATTACATGTCAGAGGGTGTTGGTGGTCTCGTTGAAGAGTGGGATTCAGACAATGTTCATGAGTTGAGTTAGGGATGGTTTAAGGGATAAGTATGTTCTCAATTTTATCACTACATTTTAGCAGGCTTCCTAATGTTAATTTAAATTAAATTGCATTACAAAATTAGCAAGCCTTGGAATGCATCTCAAATTGTCCAGAAATTAAAATCGTTCTGAGGAGACCCTCTTCATCTCGCCGGACCCACCCACACACACTCTTCTCTTGTAAGCACCTAAATGCTTGCCATGGTACTTCATACTCGATCAGCTGTTATGCCTTGCTTAAGCACATATGATAAAGTGAAAAGTGCCTAGATAGGTTTTTATTGGTGGCTAAAAAAAACTGGTGGCTTAAACTTTAAAACATCTAGAGGGAGCCCTGCACAATAACGTTTTACGGCATACTAGTATTGCATACATTTTGGTTACTGTAGCTGTTGCTCCACTAGTTATTCACAGCAGTATATTAACTACAGCTAGGCCATGCATGCACTGAAAGTACAAGTAATAGGAGCTATTTGCTGATAAACTCATGAGACAAAAATGTAGAAATTGTGTTTTGATGATGACACTTCAATGGATTCTTTTAGTTTGTATCCCAAAACAGGAAAAACCTGCATGAAAATTATGCCATATATATGAAGCTAAAAATGAATGATAACAATAACTCAGCGTGCGAGCTTGGCACTCGCCCGCTCGCCAATGTCGAGTGAAAATAATATTGGCCGAGTGAAAGCTAAAGCTGACTCGCCCATGTTGGCGAGTAAAAATAATTGTCTTAAACTTTAATCAAATGTTGGTTCCTTATGATATATATCCAACCATTGATGAAATACAGTTGTAGCGATTGTGAAGGGCGGCTATCCCACGACATCCTCACTTTATATTATCAAAGGTCGCCGAAGAAAGCAGCCCGCGAGAGCGTGCAGCGCCAGCACAGCGTGGCTGTGTATACGTGCCTGAGGCGGCATATTGATTAATGTAAAGGGAGGGGGATAGCAGAATTGTTTAAAAGTCACGTTGGCCTTGGTGTTAACAAGTCAATAAAATCGGCGTAACGTGGCGTTTCATTGATGGGGCAAAGCAGCCCAAGAACAAAAGTAAATTAAATGAAAATGAAAACAGGAACCTTCAGAGGAGATGTGCCTTGAATTTTTGAGCAAAGTGATCAATGAATTACACGTGTTACACTTACAGTTACAGTGTAGTTAAATCAATGGTGTTTTTGTGTTTTTTCACTATTGTTTGACAAGCATTTTTGTTTTCAAATTTGGGCGAGTACAGATTCCATTTGGGCGAGTTAACTTATTGACTCACTCGCCCAGTTTAGCGAGTGGTTTTTATTTCAAAGCTCTAACACTGTAACTGCAACAACAAAGCCATGAACATTTCTTGGAGCTAACTCGAGTGTAGTTCTGCCCATATATAGCCCTTTACTCTGCCAACATGGCCAAAGGGCTATGCAGGATTGTATGAAGGAGTTTATTTTTTTCCCTTTTGGCTCCTGCAGAGCATATATATGCACTGCTTGCTCACTGCATTTCTTTGATTTCCATAACACGCTGTGTGCAGCCAAGCTCCTCGCAATTATGTGAGCGAGGACATCAGCTCTGCTACGGGGCTACGAAAGACTGCATGAAGATTGCACGTCCTCGCCACGTGACAAGCCAAGTTGTAAACCGTGCTACTACAAAAAACGATCAGGTCAACCATAGGAGGCAAAATGAAGATAGTGACATTAGCTCCCCACTCTAAATGGTAAGCCTAATCTCAAATCTCAACTTGTAATCATTTGGTAAAATTGGACCATTTATCATACACATACGACAGTATGAGCAATGCTCAGAATGATATTTGAACCGATATTTCCGCACCGGGTGCACTCATACAATAAAGTATATCCCTGTAGCAGAGTGAAGTGCTACACGAGTACAGATAACACGTGCTGATAAGGAATAGATCTTTAATTTCTGAATGCTCCCCGACAATAGCCCGTAAGCTGTAAGTAAGATAGCAAATAAGTGAAGTGATTGTAAACTGGACACTCTCTGGGCTACAGGCTACAAGTAAAACTTTACCAGTGTAGCTCCTTCGCTCCTGCTACCTAGGCCGAGGGGGTCCCCCTTCACCCCCTGTATGCAAAGAGACTCCACCACCACTACACGGTATTAGTAGAGCCAAGGTAGCTGTTGTGGCCACTCATTACAACTTACAATACAAGATCCAAAGACTATAGTACAAACTAAAAATGAGTGATCAAAAGACGTTAGTCTTGCAGCCTCAACCTGGTCGAGCTAAGTATTCTGTAGCCTGTAGTCTGTACTATCTAGTGATCCGAACATAAAAGGCAGTGGATCGAGGTACGGCAGCCGTATCTCTAATATACGAGGCTGGAGGTACGGCAGTCCAATCGCTTTCATACTTAACGAGACCACAGGCCCTTTGAGGCTCAAGTTTCAAGAAGAGTAAAAGCGCAAAGCCTGTGACGAGACAAAGATGGCGGCAGATTTGGAAATAGCGCCTTGGGAAATAAATTCACGATTTGAGTTTTGATGAGCTAGAAACACTCGGATTAGGTATGAAAATAAACATTATTGTAAACTTTACATCAGAAGATTGCAAATAATTGCCTCAGCCCTCAAACAAACGCCAAAAAGGGGCTTCAACGAACGACGGCTGCCGTACCTCCAGCCACTCTGAACATATAATACCTAATGACTACTGAAACGGAGTAAACCACCGTAGAATCAAGGATCAAGAATAGTTTGGGACCGCCGCAATATCATGTTTCTATTCGTTGAGCAGAAACAGTTAGAACCTTTTAACTTAGATACAATGACATATTTCTTGCTAGAATTTATTACTATTAGTATTAGTATTACTAATACTATTAGTAAGTATTAGACAACACCCTGAAGAAGACCTCTGAGGCTCTGGTAATTTTTAAGAGAGTACCCCCACATTTACGAAAGTTACGATATGAGGGTTTAAACGCTACTCTGAGTAGGAATATGACAATGTAGTGCGCAGCGCCACTTGAAAAGTAACAGTGGGCTTGGGCCAGCAACTATGAGGATAAAGGGGCTCCCCCTAATAAAAGGGAGGGTTCTGATTGGTTCTATGGTGTTTTCCCCACCTACGTCATAGCTATGACATTATTGAGGACTCGGTCAACCATCTCTCAAAAAAATTCGAAATGCTGCTACGTTTGATGATCGTACTCGCTACTTCAAAGTTAGACTCATCTTGAGGGCCTGTTTAGTACAGATTGCAAGTT